AGCAACTTTATAGTTGGACCCTGATCCTTCAATGGGTTGGGAGAAAACCTGATGGTTAAACATGAAAGCTAGCTCTATCATGTCCTACATAGCATTCTTATGTGATAGCGACATTTTCTTAGTAATAAATCCAAGAGTGTTCAAGGATTGTAAAAGGAACATTTTCTTTTTTTTTCAATAATAGGCATATTATTGAAAAAAAAAAAAAAAGATCATATTTTAGGTCTTAAATCTTTTAGAGAAATATTTGATACATAGCTATATTTGAACAAATTAGAATACTGCTGAGATATACTGTCCCTCCAAAATCATAGAAGGAATCTTATAAGATTCCCATATTTTATTGACTGATATGCTTAATTTTTTCATTAAAAAAAAATATACAAATAATATATTGTTCTATATATACATTATACAGAGTATTTCAGGGTTAAGTGGGCAAACTGCAAAAATGAACTAAGGACCTAAAAACAAGAAAAAAATTTCCTCTAAAGATATGTCCGCAAACGCTTTGTTTAGGAGATATTCACACCTAAAGATTTTCATTGTTATTAATTATTTACGTTATATGAAATAAATAAGACTTATTTATTTTTTTAACTACTTTATTAATTAAACGTAAACATAAACCTTCAGAGAATATTTTTTTCTTGATTTGAAGTCCTTAATTCATATTTTCAGTGTGGCCACATAACCGTGAAACAACCTGTATATAAAATGAGTTTTTGGACTAAAAGTATGATTCATTCAAAACTCAAGAAGCGTAGAAATTACACTTGTTGTTTCTGAAATAACCAGTTCAATTAGATATTACTCTTACCAAAAAACATATTTAAATTAAAAGGGTTAAATTCATATAATTAAATATTTAAACATAATAAAAATAAATCATCATTTATCTTGTCTATTTAAAGATAAAATGGTTTATGGAGGCAAAACCTGAATGATGAAGACTTGTAGGCCGATCCAGGATTACTTATTGGGAGCAACTAGAAGAGGTGGAAAAATAAAGGAAAAGACTTGGGGACAGAGTGTTGAAAATAGAAATGAGTGGAGGAAGAGGAAGTGGACTTAGGTTCATGCTCGACACTGGAAGGCACAAGAGCAAGAGAAAGAAGAAGGAGAAATCAAAATTTTGAATAAGTAATTTTCCCTATTGAAGTTATTTAAATTAATATGGATTTTATTTAAATAATTCTTATATTATGACCAAAAAATAATTTTTCCCAAGAGAGATATAACATTATCATATAAAACATTATAGAACTATTATTTAAAATAATGATATTTTTCATTTTGATTATAATCAGAAATGGTTTTATTCATAAAATTCAATAAAAACATTGATCTCAATGCCAACATTTCAGTGAAAATAATTTATCTCCTGTGCTTAGTGTTAGACTGATATTTGGAAAACTTATTTATTTTTTTTTATTTTAGACATATAATATTCTGTCACAGGGACAATAATTATATTGATAAATGAACACATTCACACCGTATATACAAAAAAAAATTAACAAAAGTAAAATAATAACTAAATAATAAGAAATGAAAACTAGATGAGAATTCTAAATCTTTTTAGATTTTCTAAACAAGATAATTATAAACTTAAATACCTCATAGATTAAATCAAATAAGCAAGAATCATTTTAACATCTGTTCCAATTTAACAAGTTATTAGTTTCTGAAAATTTAATAATTTTCGAAATTTGATTTTATTATAAAAAAATCTGAATGAAATAAAAAATTTTAAAAAAAGTTTGTATAATTTATCGGAGTTTATCCATTATATAATATATTTTTCTGAGATTACTAAGTATTCAGTCTCAGCATATTATATTCACCTCTTAACATAAAACTAACTGTTATTACAATGTTAAACTAGATAAATTACAAAATATTTTTTTATGAAATAGGTTATATTAAGATAAGTACTTTTAAAATGATTATTGTATTTTTTTTAGGCGATACATGGTCAGAAACATTAATGTAAGCTTGAACTATATTATAAAGCAATAAATATTTTATGGTATTGTAATGCTTCAAATAACATTCCCTCTTGATCTGCTACTCATAAAATATTTTTCAATTTTATGACCAGTTATAAATTAAAAATAAATGTTGGCAAACAGAAAAAACTAAATAAAAATTCGAGAAGGAGGTTTAAACATAAAAACATATACACGACTTTTCTATATTTGACTACACATATATATGTACACACACATCGAAATAACAATTAAGAGCTTGTCGCCCTTTCTGAGGCAGTGGACATTATTTTTCATACATCTGAAGCTGTCTTTAACATTTCCTTAAAGCATATTTCATATTACTCATTCAGTCCAAATTAACATGGAAATTGGTAAGGAAGTACAAAAATTTCGTCCCCAATCCATGAAATGTAGCTCATTGTACTAGATTTATAATTGTATTGTACTACATTTGCGCATTGCAATTACAATATATTATTTAAAAATTGCTGTTGGGCTCAGATGAGAACTAGATAACCTACCTACAACTACTCAACACTAACGGACCCTTCCGTCCAAAAATAAATAAGTTACCTGCTTGACAGGTTTTCATTTTTAAATAGCATTTTCTTATTAAAAAAACATAATATTTACTCACATAAATATATTCCATTATAGTACAATTATATATTTCTTTGATAACTATAAAATATTATTGCCGAGCTACACATTTTATCTGAAGCTATATCAATCATACATACATTTTAACGAACACCATTTTATTATTTTTTATGGACCAGTAGTCTTTAAATACAATGACAGTTCTTTAATTCTATGCTCTGAAGAATTTTTAATCCAACATATGCAGATATACCAACCTCTAAGTACTCGTACACAAAATATTCTGTGGGTAAGTTGCATTCTGCTTTATTGAACAATATAAATATACATAAACAACATATATCTGATGAACTACAATTATTTAAACTCATGAAAACTTGATATCTACAAAAATAAGCAATAATCTTTGTTTCGTTGAAATAGAATACAAAAACTCATGGCATATACTTTAAACGTATCATTTACCTCTGCATTGATCGATTCAAAACTCAAATTTATTGACTGAAATAGTATAGAAAGATCATACTGATCTACTCATCACATTCTTACAGCTAATCATTAACACACTAAGAGAAAAACAGCAGCTTTTGGAGATCACAAGTTGATACAATTTAAAGTAAAAAATTTCTTTGGAAGACAACATTTAACATTAAAATGGAAGACAAGTTTAACCACTGTATAGTTATATATTAAAATTTCTTATTATTACTCAAACAATACAATAATTAAGTTTTTAAGTGATTTTTTTTATTTTTTATCTGCCAACAAATAAGGTTTTAAGAACACTTTTATAACTGTTGAATTTCAATAGAGATAAACAGTAACCCCTCAATGACCAGCATAGAAGGTAACTAAAATAGATATTGAGTAAACTATTAACAAATAATATAAAAACATATATTAAATTTGATAGTAAAACATATTGGCTATTTAACAAAACCATATCCCTGTCAAATTTTTGGCCAATTTCAAAAAGTTTGTTCCTTTCTCCTGAGTTTTTGAAGGCACATATGGAATTATAAATATTTAGATCAATAGGTTTTTAAGAAATAATGTGACAAAAAGCTATTATTATCTTAAATAAAGTATGGTGGAAGATTCTATTATAATTAACATAAATCCTAAAGTAGATCATTGAATTTATTTTGATATTACTTAAATTCCAAAAAATAAACAATTGATATTTAAAATATTTGCTTATGAATAATAACCAAGTTTTATGTTGTTCACTTTGTTAACTTCAGCTTTTTATTCAACCTACAATTATCTGTCATTTAATGCTTATTTTATGCTCTTTATTATTGTGAATATTCATTTTTTTTCTCTCTCTATAGTCAAATTGTGAGCATCATTTTTTATGAATTGACTTCAAGTACTCATTCAAGTTTTTTTATCAACATTTAATCTTATGAATAAAGATTCTTATAGTTACAGGTTTTAGACTCAGGTGGATCAATAAAAGAGTTTTCATAATGTTCCTTATTTTTAGATGTATATAAACTTTATTGCTTAATGGCTTTGAACAAGTACCTCTTTTATATCCTTGGCCATTTCAGTTGACAGGGATCTCATACATATTAAATTTTATTGTCACTCTAATTTAATGAGAAATAATTAACATTAATTATAAACAACAAAACAGTCTCATTTGATAACATTACTAAATGACATGGTATCATAACACTATTAAACTATCACTGCCTTTAACATTATCATCAAAACCATGTAAGTAATTAAATATATTTTATAATTAATAATAAAAATATAACAAGATACAATACATGGAGTAAAGGTAATTTATGGAATGCAATAGAATATATAATTAATATATACAAGAAATAATTAATGGATTATTTTAAAATTATTTTGTTAAAAGGTAATATTTGCTAAGTGGCACCATGGAGTCATCAAGAGACTGTTATCTTTGATCTTTTATCTTTACAACTTTTGCTTGCAATTTCCTACCTCCCCTTCCTAATTGGTAAAGCCACCCCACATAGTTCATGAACTTCATGGATTTGCTTATCACTAAATAGAGTTTAATGAGTTGAATTTGGAAGATTAATCATAGAGAAATGCAAGAATCTTTTCCAATACTTACTAGAAACATCTCATAGTAAACATTTGACTCATGTCTAACAATTAGCTTATAATATCTTAAATAATAAAATAATTCAACAAATAAATGGTGTCACTAACAGAATCTTTAGATCTTTATTCTGTTGAAATCAACTTGTGTTTTTATAAAATAAACTAGAGGCGAATGCTTTTCTTTATTGAAACACAGCTATCACAGTATACAAATAATTTATAGTTTCATGTAGAACTAATTCGTTAAACAAATAAGAGATCCTTACAGACTGATCCACTCCTTTATAAAAAGTAAATTAGTTTGAAAAAATAATCATAAGAAAAAAATAAAGTTAATAAATCTTAAAATATTTATTGTAAAAATAAGAAAAAATGTTAAATTAAAAGGCAGGACTTATCATAAATTATCTTAAAGATCTTGACCAAGACGATCCATTTCTGAAAGCATAAAATCAACATCTCCTTTATTGACAGCTGCTGAAGAATAAATGCTTCTAAAAAAGTTGGGTCGTTTGTCATCAGGTTGGTAACCAACCATAAGTGTTCCAGCTTCCATCATTTTTCCTTTCAAAATGGGACAAACCTAAAAAAAAAAATAATAGTTTCATTTATTTTTTGAAATGAAATCATACCTTTAATTATTTTCAATTAAAGTCAGTGCAATAATGATACATTGATTTCTTTCTTGGATGATATTTGATAAACTTAAAAAAATATATTCTTTATATATATTGTGTTAACATATAGAATTTCTCTGCTTATTATTAAATCTTGGGAGTAAATGAACAGCATATGCAGTGCAACACTGTAGGGTTACTTCACAGTTTGGGAGTAACAGAGGACTTTAATGCCATTTGTTTGCATTTTGGTTGTTTATCTATTGTTCCTTGGATCTCTTTCTCATCATGGGGCTCTAATTCATCCTCTGGGGTTCAAGTTAGACATGTTACATCTAGCAGGCCCTTCCACATGTGGGTAGCTTTTGTTAAACATGTGATCAAAGGGAATGTTCTATCTTTTTAGTGTTCAGTTGTTGTTACTGATTAATTATCCATAAGCGTTGCTGTATAAGTACAGTTGAGGCTAAAATAGTTTTCGGACAATATTTGGTATTTCGTAGAATTTTCAGTATTTGTTTGCATTTCTTTTGATTTATACATCTTCCAATTCTTTACTTTCCCAAGCTGTTTTTCTCAAATGTTTACTCTTTTTTTTTTTTTTTTGTAATATGCATCAATTGATTTTTTAATATGTATCGTTTTAATACATATGTGCTACATTTCTATGCGCTACATTTTTTTTTTTTGTTCATAGAATTTGATACAGATATTTGAAATCATCACAGTTCTTGTAAGAAGATGGTAAATCACCCAGATTGTGTCATCAAAACTGGTGAATAAAATATGATTCGAGACTTTATAGGGGAAACAGAATTGGAAAACTGCTCTTAGGCGAAGAGAGAGTGAATAATGATATCTATATAATCAATGGCAGATTCAATGGAGAACTTTCAGGCTGAAGTCCACCCCAAATAGAAAAAATATATTTTTTTTTCATTGATCCATAATTGTTTTTATAACTGATCTGAGCCAAATACATAAGAAATTACAATATGCCCACTTTTTAAATTGTAACTCATGAACTGCAGCTAACAACTAAGTGTGTGTCAAGTAAAAATATAAACATTTTATACCTAAAAGCATTATCATTCCTGTTATTACCACCATAATAATAATATTAGCCTTTCCAAAATTGAATCCTGAACAGACTATATTAATATTTGTTAGCAAAAGAAAAATTGTAGATGAGAGAATATATTATTTCAACAGCATAATGCTCAATATCACTTTTTACCCAAAAGTAGTTAGTGAGATCAAAAAGCAATATTAAGTTACTTGAATGGCCTCCTCTGTCTCTAAACCTCAACCCCATTGATTTGTTATGAACTAAATTGAAAATTACTTTTAATACGCTTAAATCTACAATCAAAGACAGCTGGTTTTCATTTTTATGAGTATAATGGGATAAAATAAACAAAAAAAGGTTTGTTCAAAACTTGTAAATTCTCAAATGAGGTAATAAAATACCAATTGTTTAATGATAAAATATTATTTTTTTATGTTTATGTTAAGTAAAATTAAAAAAGTTTTTGTTAAAAGTGGTTAGTCTTATTAAAAAAAGTGATTGGATGCCTAAGAGGTTTAACCAAGGGCAGTGGCATACCTAGACCATTTTAATTTAGGTAGAATTTGTTTTTTGGGTTCCCGGAAAAAAAAAAAGACTCGACCACTAAATTTCATTTTTATTTTTATATAGGTTTTTTTCTGATTTATTATGCATTAGGCATCTCCACGAGATATCAATGCAAAGTCCTAGATTGGCCATGGAAGGAAGAATGTAAAGAATTGTACGGGCATAAGGCAATCTAAGCAATTCATTAAAAAAAACCTCACTCACCAGAACCAAGTGACTGCTTGGTCTAAACAAAAAAGAACTTCAATTGGCCGTCCCTTTTGAATTTCATCAGGATCAGGAAAATCAAAAGGTTTGGGATGGAGGATAAACAGACTCAAATTTTATTTGGGGTTGACAGAAAGGTCCAGTAGGCCCACTTGCCGGATATGTCACTCCTCTTTACCAGTACCAGTAGTGAGTAACCATGGTCGTCAACGCCCTATATTTTCACTATTTTAAATTTATTAAATTTATGATGGCCACACACCACGGGCGGATCTACGGGGGGAGGGGCTTTCGGGCTGAAGTTCCCCTCCCCAAAAAATTGAAAAATATAACCATGTTTTATGGGAAAATTTTTTTAAAAATACCTCTTAAAGTATTATTGTTCGTGCAATTACATTTATAAGTACTTAAGGAATAACTTAAACACCATTTCATATAGGTAGTTAGTTTCTTTCTGTTTTCCAAAGTAATTATCGTTATTTTTATGAAAAAAAAGGTTTCGGGCTGAAGCCCCCCCCCCAAAATTAAATCCTGGATCCACTAGTGCCGCACACAATAGAAATGACTGGAGGAAGCTAGTGGAGAAAATCAAGACACCTCACCGACTTATAGCGCCGTGATTGTTAGTTAAAATTTATTAAAGAATAAAAGAAAATATATACATTAAAAAAGTAACTATAAATAAATTTAAAAAAAGTCTTTCGCGTATTTATTTTTAACGTTTATTTTCTTTCCCAATTTAATTTTAAAAAATGGTTTATTTAGACTGTTTTTCCCGAAAACTCAATTCATAGAGACTGTTGATGAGCAAAAAGCAATATAAACCGGGGAAAACGGATGGAAAAATGTCAGGAGAGAAGAAAAACGCTGAGACCCTAATAATAAGAGGAACTCCTGTAACATTAATTGAATTTAAATACATGATGTTAAAATGAACGAACATCTAGTTTTATTTGAAGAAACTGTAGAAGTGGCCAAAACTTAAAAAACACTTAAAAGTCGTTAAAATTTGACTGACCAAAAAAATAAAACTGGTGGTAAAACGAAACAATTGTTTATTCTATTTATCTCTCCTACGAATACTTTAAGTATCTCGGAAGATGATAGGGAAATAACTGTTTCAAGATATCTGAGCTAGTGAGCTAGATGACTGCTCTAAGTGCGAACGGATTTACAAAGTGAGATGTGGTCTCTCACGAGTAGCCCTGGGCAGGGGATAAATTGCATCCATCGTTAAAATCTCTCATTACTTTTGCGTTTTTAAACATTATGTACCGTTACCAGCTTAGATGCATTACTCTCCTAAAGCACTGCTGTTAGCGTCCGTTCGCTGATAGTCCACGGAATATGTATATGGAGTACAGACCCTCTCTTATCAAATTATCGACACTCGACAATAATTTAGAGAATGGCTCCAGCTTATCGTAGCCTTCAACTTTTAAATCAACGAAAATTCTCATAAATGGGAGTTTTCTGATTGAATTAATTAATTTAATGAGGTTTTACTAAAAACTCATGAACACCAATTTTCTTTCCAATTGAATTGAAAGATAATTTGATCACAAAATCGAGAAAAAAATATTGGACAATAATGTTCGGCTTATATAACCCTATTTAATTTGAAATGTTGGGGGTGGAGATCACGCCAAACTGTCCAATATTTTTGTAGGCCATTCTTTTTCTCGATTTTGTGATCAACCTATCTTAGACTCAAGTGGAAAGTAAATGAATGTTCATGAGTTTTTTAGTACCTCATTAAACTGACAAAGTTTACTGATCTCCAGGGAAGCCCATCCTTCTCGTAATCTTCGAGTTCTCGTCTGATTAAAGAATCATGTGATTTTTAAAAACGAAGATATCATTCGGAAAATACCGTCCTGTGGAGACCCCTTTTGTAAGTGGGGCGTGGTGCTTTTTATTTTCTTCTTTAATTATTTGTTATCCATTGAGGTATAATTTTGTCCATAGAACCCTACGATTACAGGTTAGGGTTAAATGCATCTTATCTTCTTCAAATAAGACAAACAGTTGTCATAATACTAACAGAGGTTTCTTAATTATTTTTTTCTAGTATGCATGTGTTTTAGTTGTTATTTTGGTTAGTTTAGTTCTTTTGTTTATATACATTTATTTTTATTATTATTAGTTTATGTATTATTTATTGTAAATAGAGTGTGAGTGTGCTCTCTGAACACTATTATAAATGTCCTTGATTTTGACAGAATGTAATATTTCTGAATAAACAAATAAAAAAATTAATTTTAAGATAAAGCCAGAAACCGCTTTTAATTTTTAATTCTTTGTATAAACCACTCATGGTTGCATGTCTTCCCTTCTTAAAATCGACAATATTTCATCGGATCCTTCTTATACCAAACTATCAACTCCCAAAACTCTTCCTACAACTACAGTCCAATCCAAACTATTGGTCAACTCTCAAAAAACAAGATTTAGTGTTTCAGACTTCTACACTCCTTGTCATAGAGTTAAAACTATATGACATTCCTTTATTGCCTGCTCCACTGTTTTGTGGAATTTCCTGCTCCACTGTTTTGTGGAATTTCCTGCCATCTAATATCCACCATAATTCTTCTCTTTCTTTAATCAAATCCCACCCTTCCCATTAATAGCTCGCATCCCTAAAAGACGCTCTCCAATCTAGAAACTTTTCTTCAAGTATATATTGTTAATTTGAAGTGTTATATATTTAATATTGTCTAATATAGGTTTAATATTTAAGTTAAATCTTTCACAAAGTTCACTTTTTTTCATGAGAATTATTTGTATTCTCGAAATTTCATTAATCCATACCATATGTTTTTGTTGTGTATGTATTTTTACCGTTTAGAAGTATATATACCATAAATATCTTCTACTCTGTGGCATAGACCCCTTTTTATTAAATTGTTAACATCCATCTGAAACTTCGTAAATATCTTCTTATCATCTTAACCTGCAACTATTTTATTTTACAAAAATCTCGGAATTCGGTCGTTTTCAGTCTAGAGACCAGTAAATCTATTTAATAGGTACTAAAAACTTGTATAAACCCATTTGCTTTCCACTTGAAACATTTGAGTACAAAAACGAGAAAAAAACGTGGTTTTCTAAAATATTGAGCCGTTTGGCATGATCTACACTCCCAAAATGACATAATAACGAGGTTATATAGGTCAAACGACCCAATATTTTTGTTGAACTTCTTTCTCGATTTTTTGATCAACCTACCTTAAGAACTAAGTGGACAACAAATGGGTATTTATGAGTTTTTAGTACCTAATTAAATAGACGAAGTTCGCTGGTCTCAATTCATAGAATTTTCGTAAATAAAATATTTCTACATTACGATGAGATGAAGCTATTCACGAAGTTTCAAGCGAGAGTTAATAATTTGACAACAAGGGGTCTGTACTAATGTCTATATTGCTTGAACCTTATGTGTGTTTTTGGCCAGTAATATTTTCTGTTTATTTGTTATTCCGAACACACATTCGTCCATGTGAATAAAAACGCCATTTCGCAATAACCAGGAGCCAAATGACGAAAATTCTTCATTTGTACATAACAGAAAATAATTGATTTTTGTTTGTTCGTTGGGACTTTAAGGGATTAAAGTTCAAAGCCATCAACGTCTATAAGTTACTATAGTTTATCTCCGTCCTAAATTTAATTAATTCTTGCTCTTTTAATTGTAAATAAATTAAATTTAATTTTTTATGAAACAGAGATAAAGTGATGCGGCCATTTTGTGAATGGCGGTTAAAAAAAATACTGGAAGAATATGTGTTAAGGGACATAGTCCTCGAATAATGTTTATTTTCTATAAAAGTCTAAACACTTTGTTTATGCGTGCATACATTAAATACTTCATTAATATTACTACATTATTTATTTTATTCTACCATACCTTCCCAAGCTCTTGAATTCGTTGTGGTCCATGCGGCATACTTCGCAGCCTCTTAGGTATGTACCAGAAGCAAACGTTGACCAGCTCCGGTTCTAGTATAAGATAGAATTTGTCACTGGTCTGATTTATTCTCTCGACCAAGTACTCGGCCATCTCCATCAAGTGGTCCATGTGCTTCTCGAATCCTATCAATCCCTAAGTAACCAAAAAAAATTTATAAAAACATGTAGGTTAAAACAAATTTGATAATGAACCCCTTGAAAATTCATTTACCTTGGCGCGGAACTGAATCCACAGTTTGAAGATGTCGTTGTGCCTTCCGCATTGTATCACCTTGTCTCCAGTGTCGTACTGGACATCGTAAAGCTTGTCTTGCATGAACAGGTAATCGGCAGACATTTGGTTACAGCTCAAAAGGAGTCCCTGTTATAAGCAAAGTAAACTAATTATTTGACTGTAAATAAGCAAAAAAAAAAAAAAAAAATAGCATTCAATGTGAATTTTTTAAAATAATAATGATAAGTAATATATATAAAATGCACATACATCGATTTTAAAATGAATCGTAGAGCATTGCAGTAGTGTCCCCATCAGCTTGTGTGGATTCCATGTCACTGAATCAGCCCTGTAACAAAGTAAAATATAATTAAACTTACACCTTTACTAAATCAACAAATATTTATGTTCACAGATTGATTTTTCATGGATAATGTTATGATTTGCCTTTAAATAATTCTTTGCTATTGTCAGTTATGTATTTTATCGTTAAGTCTAAATTAATATGATGTATATCAGGGGTAGCCAGAAACGGAGCTTCATGGCACAAGTTTTACGATGAAATTTTTTAAGAGAGGAGAGCACTAGACTGAGAATTTTCATAAATAAAAAAAAGGTGTGGGCTACGATGATATTAAGCTATTCACAAAGTTTTGGATGGATATTAATAATCGTTAAAAAGGGGGCTTTACCGCGTGCAATAACAATTACGAGTTTCAAAACAATTATCCGATGCGGCTTCTGAAGGCTTCGAAGTCACTCTTTTAGCAATATTTATCCGTCTAAAAACAGCTGTTCAAGCTCCAGGAAATGGGGTGAGGAGTGCAGTGGTGTAATTTATCAAGGTTGTCGGCAGAATAAGACACATCATTTCATCGAGGTAAATTTGTTAAAAATGGCATACCTTTATGTCCCCTCAAAGAGTCCTTTTCCCCGACAGAGGATCATTAGAGATGAAAGGGACTATAAGATCATTAGTGAATGATGAAGTGCGGGATTCAAAAGAGGCGGTGTTTACATGGAAACTCAATTATCCCGAGTGTGAAGGTGACGGATCGGAGGGTTTGATCCCGCAGCTCCGTGGGAGTCCGTGCACCCAGCCTCTCTCTCTCTCTGCTACAGCGAGTTTTTAACCCGCATCCCCTCTGTCCTTAATCCGCTCTAATTGAGGCTCGAGTCCGCCGAGCTACTGTAGGGAGGATCGGCAATCAGGACAAAGTTCAGGACATCTGTAAATAGCGTTCTCTCTTTGGTTTCGTGCAGTTACACAATGGACTGACTTATACTGTAACGAATTATAGTAATAGCTAGTATATTCTAGTGAGAACTCATAAATTAATTGATCATTCTTCTCCCTAAGTCATTCGAAAGTAAAAGCCACATTAGTAAAATATGTTTATTCGTATACAGGGAAGTAGAGGAAATTATCTTAAGTAGAGGAAAATTTTCATAGGAGCGATAACTAGAGTTGCCTAAAATCGGTGCACTTTGCAAGACCAAGACTAAGGCCGCTAACTGTTGCAAGACCAAGAGCAGAACTGGTAAAAAAAGTCGATTTTTTAAATAAAAATTAAGGCAAAATAGTTACTAATACTCGACAATTTTAGTTACTATATGTTAATAAGTGGTATAACCAATATTCTTTTGCCTCAAATTAAAAATATACAAGAGCATTTTAAGACCGGCACTTCTTTATGGAGCACCACTCCTAACTAACATATCACCGGCAATATCGAAAAAGCTCTAACAGTTTCAGAACGGTGAGCTAAGAAAAATAGTGAGACACACGACTTAACAAAAACCACGTTCGAACCTACTACATAGCACCCTCGAATTACCGAAGGTGGGCGACTTTATTACACCTGAGCAGGCATATCAAATTTTTTGATAGCGTCAAATACTCGACAAAACCACTTTTTAAAACACTTACTCACAAACATATGAGATGGCAGACATACATTAAAAACCTGTTTATAGACTGAAAAATTGACATTTACAGGACACTAGTGAGCCCCGTCACTTTACTGAGACGAACCGTAACTATGAATGACCACAGTACTCCCAATTCCCCACCCTACTCTTAAATGCACTCTGTGCAGTACAAGAGTTCATGTTCAAGCCTCGTACTACCACTCTGTTCTCAACACCACATCATATGGGGTTAAGAAAAAAAAATAATAATAAAATAAAAATAAATAAATAAACTTTTGCATTTAACTCCTCTAATTTTTCATTCGGCCTTAGTTAGGTTTCTCCTATCTAAAAAATTACAGTAATATCTCTATAGTAATAAGCTAATAAGTAACTGAAAGACTCTTGCGCAAGACCAAGACCATGACCAAGACTGAGTTTGCAAGACCAAGACTCGTCTCGGTTTCGCATTTGGGCAACACTAGTGACAACAGACCTTAAGGGCTACAAAAAAGTTTTTTTAAAAATGGTTCAATTTTCAGCAGAAAAGTAAGAAATCTCAGTTTTGTGTTTTTTAAAGTAAGTCATGCTTTTTGAATAGGTAGCTATAATTAAAAAAACTTAATTTAATTTCAGTAATTAAAAATTATTTCATTGTAAACTAGATAAAATTTACTTCAATAGAGTTCATTATTGTTAAAACCATTTAAAAAGGATTGTTGAGCGGCTAAACCAAGCCAAGTGCTGTTTTTAAAAAAATCATAAATTATTCGCGATTTTTTTTCATTATTCTCTAATTATAATACAGTTATCCCACCTTTGTAAAAACTTCCTCGTTTAATAAGCTTTTAATCTATATTAATTAAGTTGAGGTTTATTAGGAAAAAACTTGAGATTCACCTCAAGTTTTTAAAAAAAATATGAGAATTTTTTTCCAGTCATCTAAAAGTACATGTGTTTTCAGCAAAACTGCCTACAATTAACTGTTACAGAACTTTTATTTCTTGTTTTTCTGTGGTGTGGGATGTATTAATATAAAAACAATTGTCTAAACACACTTTTTATTTATAAAAATAATGATTTTTCACGTAAAGGGGTTATGAGACTTTTTTTTTCTCCGAGATTAGTATACTCTGGTATACTCTAATATTTACGTTTTCACAACAATAATTGAAGCAATATGCTTTTTTTTTTTTAATCCAAATTTTAGAACTTGAAACATTAAGTTTGTCAATTATAAATATGGATCAATTATTATGAATGGGAAAAACTCAGCTTAATATCCACTTTACGTGAAAATTCAATATTTTTTATTTATATAAATAAAAAGTGTATTTAGACAATTACGATTATAATAATACCTTCTAGGCCATGGAAAAAACAAGAAATAAAAGCTTTGAAATAATTAATTGTAGTCATTTTTGCTGAATACTTGCAATTTTAGGTTACAGGATAAAAAAAAATTACATCATTTTTTTACAGAACTTGGGACGAATATTTAGTTTACGCCTAATAAACCTCAACTCAATTATTTACCAGCATATTTATAAATAGTGTGGATTATATATGTATATTAAAGTAGGTTTAATTCAAAATCCTCTTTTTTAAAAATTTAAATTGATCTATACCTGTAAAATCAAGCCTCGATTCAAAAGTTGACGGGTTTTTAAAAATATATATGATTAATTTTTTGGAGTCGCTTTTCTTTCATACAGAATTTAGTTAATCTGCGTTCATTTTAAATTAGAATTAGATTTTTTTTACGTTACTACACGTTAAATCTATGAAACTTTCATTTAGAGGCTATTATTCTTAACATAAGAGAAAATAAGCATACATATTGTAAATTAAAAAAAAATATATATGTATACAATTTTACACTTTTTGAGTTGTTACTGCACGATTTTGCATATTTTAAGTTTTATATTGCACGTTTTTCGGTGTTTTACTGCACGAAAATCCGGTATCTAGCCATTACCGATGCCATCGTTAAATAATTATTACTTTGCCAATTATTTCAGCAGTTTATAATGAGGTAATATAATGACTCTTTAGACTATTATTTAGATTAAAAAAATAAATAATTTTTGAAGATTTTAAAATAACAAACTAATTACTACAGTCGTAATATAAATCATATAGATCCTGGCACTTATGGAAGGTGCTAAAGCCAGGAACTGAAGAAGAAGCTAATCCTCAGCTAACGAGTGGGGTCAGGGGGGGCCGCACTTTGGGTAATTAATAGCCTTCTCAAACAGCTGCGCGCCCTCCCCTCCCAAACATTAAAATTCAATTAGGCAGATTTTGGTAGGGGGAGGGGGCGCGCTGCCCACAGTTCTGCCAAAAACAGGTCATTAATATAAACGTCATGGAACAATTAATATCATGGCTGCCTTTGATTTCGGCATTGAAGTTTCTACTAAAGTAGCAAGTACTTTTTTTTTTGTTTTCATTTATACATAACTAATATTTTGTTTCAAAAAAATAAACTATATAACTAATAAAAATCGAATGATATTCTTCAATAGAAGGGCCGAGGAAAAAGAAAATTGAAATCACTTATTTGTTCAAAAATGAGTTATTGGTATTAAACAATGGATTCGGAATGAAATGATTTTTTTTTTTCAGGAAATAGTTGTGAAAAAAAAAGATAACTATTGCTACTAAAATAAGCTTAAAGCTAGAAAAGAGACATAAAGTAATTATGTTATAAATGGAAAAGTCCAAACTAAAAATATTAAATATGAGCCAATTCAGGCGTCGTCAGAGCAGATAAACCAAGATCACTTATATGAAGGAAAGAAGCACAGAAAAATAAATAAAAGAAACTATATATTGTTGTAGACATGTTACGAAGCCACCCAAATACAGACTGACGGAAAACGAAAATTCTATTAACGCATCTAAAGAAGGTTATATCGAACAGCTGATTAGCAGAAACACAAGAAAGAAAAAAAAATATGCAGAACTTTTTTTTTTTTTTTTTTATTTCTTTATGACATTTACAACTGTATTACATAAATACATCAAGTAAATTTGGACATAATTGATATAATGACATGAATACACTTGCTGAGTAACTACCCAATGGTAGCACTCTAATGATATGACTATATTAGGAGATCACGGGGCCATCTTCTTTTCAGACGCCTCGGAGGGTTATCAGGAATTGAAGAGGAAGCAAGGTTAGAAACGAGAGGATTGGGATGATTCTGAAGTTTATTATGGAAGGATAGGTATCTGGATTGGGCCAGATCTGAAACATAAGGAACATTAAGATCTTTATGGATAATTTTATTAGTGACAAAGTAAGGAGCATTGAGGATTTTACGAAGGATTTTGCATTGTAAGGATTGGATGCGAGAGGAATTCGATGGTTTAGTGGAGCCCCATAGCTCAACTCCGTAAGTCCAAATAGGTCTTATTATAGTCAAGTATATAAGTCTTTTGTAATTAATGGGAAGTTTAGAGCGTTTGTCTAGTAAGTGCTGAAGTAATCGGAAACGTCGAGCGGTTTCTTGTCGTTTCAGTCTAGTATGAGGATTCCAAGTTAGTCGTTTGTCCAGGTGGAGTCCTAGGTATCGGATTTGCTCAACAGGGATAAGTGGAGTATTGTTAAAGGAAACTGTAGGACAGGAAGTCGTTGGTTTACGACGAAGGGTAAAGCTAATTTGGTGGGATTTATTGGAGTTTATTTTAATTCTCCAGTTTTGACACCATTCTTCTAGATTTATGATGTGTGATTGAAGCATTTGGGATGCAATTGCTGGGTCATTGTTTACTGATAGGATACATGTGTCATCGGCATATGTGGTGATGACAGTGTTGGGACAGGTAGGGATGTCAGCTGTATAAACTGTATAGAGGATAGGACCTAGGATACTACCTTGAGGAATACCAGCAGACTGGGAAAAAAGGGATGAATAGGCGTTATTGTGATTTACTTTAAAGTATCTATCAGTAAGGTAGGAACGGATAATGAGGAAGTACTATGCAGAACTAAAATATAATTATAGAAAACTTATTAAATTTAAAAAATAATAAATTAATAAATTAAAAAGAAAAAGCTTTAAGGTGTATATAACATCTTTTGGAAACGGACAAATGAATAAAGAAACTAACACAAAAACAATAAATAAAAAAAAAGTTACAATTGGGTATGATGAGAATTATAATAAGGTTAAAAGATGTGATGCTACTAAAGAAGCCAATAAGAAATTCCTCTACGATGATTTACTTTCATAAAACATTATATCTAATCCAACAATAATCGGTCAAAGCTTCCTAATTCAAATGATGCTTTAAAGTCCTGAAGATCAGCAATCCAGGCAGACCAGTTGATGGAACCTTCGGCAACATTTGAACAAGAAATAATATTTCATCATCATCATCATCATCATCCTGAGCTGTACGATCTATTACTAAATATTGGCACCCTCAAGAGTTGTCCTCCAATTTTCTCTCTCCAAAGCAGCTGTTCACCATACCATTATACCATTTCCTGATTCCAAGAATTCTGGCATCGGCATTAATAGTCCAGTAGAGTTAGGGGAGGGGGTTAGAGAACAGCCTTACCCCAACATTCAAAAAATAAAGATGAAATTTGTCAGAAATTGTTTATTACAGACCTCATAATAATTGGTCCCAAATCACGCATCGGGTTTTGATGGGAGGAGATGGGAGAAGGACAGAAAACTGATATTTTTTTAGTTTGATGAAAAGATCTTAAAAACTATGAGATTTTTCGTAAAGATTTTTCAGTACAATATTAAAGTACTTTAAAATATTTATAAAAACGAACCTATATGATTTTTTATTAAATCAATTGTTACGGAGATATTGTTACAAACGCTTAATATTCAGCTTTGGGGCTCCACTAAGCCATCGAATTCCTGTCTTATCCAATACTTAGAATCCAAAATCCTTCGTAAAATCCTCAAAGCTCCTTACTTTGTCTCAAATAAAATCATCCATAAAGACCTTAATGTTCCATATGTTTCCGATTTGGTCCAATCCAGATACCTATCCTTCCATAAAAAACTCCAGAACCATCCGAACCCTCTCGTTTCAAACCTTGCTTCCTTCTCGATCCCTAATAACCCTCGGAGGCGTCTGAAAAGAAGATGGCCTCGTGATCTACTTATGTAAACATATTATTAGAGTGCTACCGATTGGTAGTTTCTCAACAAGTGTTTTCATGTGATTGTACTATAACTGTGTGCACATTTACTAGTTGTATTTTTTTATAATACAGTTGTAAATATCAATGAATAAAAAAAAATGTTTTTATAATTTTTTTTGTTCTAAAGTAACCTAAACCTCAGTAAGCTAAAACCATAAGTATAAATATAATTGACGGGAACGGGGAGGGAATCCGATGTAGCGAGCGGGGATTAGAAGGGGCACTGAGTGGTGCCTGTAATCCCCGGCTGTGAATGCACTTAGGACTGCATGGGATTAGCTACACCTGTTTTGGCCTGCGGGCTCACCCGGGGGAGTAAGCAGCGGCCGTTCAGCAAATCTATGTCATAGCAGATCGCTAGCTTAAGATATTAATTCGGCGTAAATGGCTTCGGTTTTAACCTACCATTTTTTAAAAATTAAAATATGGTTGACTCTTAAGAAAAGTTTCTTATTCCAAACCGATATTAGATACGTTTAAATTAAAAAAAAAAAAAGGCGTTTTCAATCTGGAGGTCGGCATACTTTGACTATTTTATTAGGTAATATAAACCTAGAAGTACTAATTTACTTTCCACTTGAATCGTAAGATAATATGAAATGAAAAATAATTTTATTCTGGGACTAAGTCCCCTTAGAATAATAGTAGAGTTTAAAAAATAGGTACATTAGTCTGGCATGTAAGTATTATACAAAAAATACCTAGGAAATTGTAAGCAAAAATATATATACACACAAAGATACTAAGGATAATACAAACATATGAAAAAAAAGAAAACAAATACAAGAAAAATATATATATATCTACAAAACATACTAACGATAAACACAGATATATACAATAAAATACTGAGATATAAAAAAATTAATAAATAAAAATAAAATGACTTCTATCAATATACAGCTAGTGGCCAACGTTATGTAACCCAGAAATTTTTACAAGCTTACAGAAGTTGGAATTTGTAGTAAGTAGTGGAATAGGAGTTGTTTGAAGGAGTTTATGGACGTGGTTTGACGTATGGAAGTAGTTAAGGAGCTAGCACGAATGACGAAGGATTTAGCAGTATCTATATAAATAATTATAGATCTTGGAATATTGACTCTGTTGCCTACAACATGAGATCCTTAACTAATTCTTCTCTATTACTTCAACTTTTTACATCGAAAGGCAGGGTATTATCCTTTAAATTTTAATTTCACTTTTTAGAGTCTAATAGGTTGTTTTCAGTTTTATTTAGAGATTTATTAAATGCTTTCATGAACCTTAAGATTTTATGTTTTTTCCTTCTCTTAAATGTCCTAGTGTCAATGTATGTTTGATATTCAATAATAACCACTCATCTGGTTGGTTGGTCGTTTATTATGAATGTTCCAAAATTTTGATCGGTTATCGAGCCAAAATTAATAGGAGTTCGGTACCGCTTGTAGAAACTTTGTTAATGTACCACTCTCATAAGAAAAAAATCCTATTAGAACCTGAAAATTTTCAATTTCTTTCTAATAAAAAACTGACACATCTTTTACAGAACAAGAGTGCATATTTTAGCACATATACAATTATTCGAACATTTTGGTTTCTTCTGAAGCAGAGCAATATCCTTGGATAATGACATTTATTACAACTACTTAAATAAATAAAAGTGTTACAAACAATGATCTTTTCTTGTGAAAAATATTAATTATTGTCAACTTATTAAAATTAAATTATAAAAAATATAATAGGGTGTATAAAATAATGCCGTTTTTCAACTAGATATTTGTATTATTATTTCTTTGATATAAAATACAATTATACTCAAAGTATAGTCAATTCTTATCTCTAGTAATTAGCCTCGATTCAACGGTGATACCATTCTTTGGGATGGCTGTCAATGAACTCTTGAATCTCAATTTCAGCTTCTGCAAAATTATCAATTTTTTTCCCATGAAGAAAATGGGCCATGGATCTAAATAAGTAGTAATCCGATGGTGCGAGGTCTGAACTGTATGGTGGATGACGCAGGAGTCTCATATCAGAAGATTTTTCCGATAAATTTTCACAAATTTCTAACCTCTTATTTGATTTCTGAAGAGTGAGTTCGTGAGAGACCAGCCTACTGCTATTTTTCACCTTCCTCTTATCTTTCAGGGAGAATAGATGGTGACTAACAGAATCTTTCAACACATCACACTCTCTGGCAAGTTCGCGAGTACTCCAGCCCATATTTTACCCATACAGCTTTCTGCAGAACCTCATCATTATCTATCAATGGTCGCCCGGAGTCCTTCTTCCTTTCAAACATCGTATCTCCACTGCTAAATTTTTCAAACCAACGCCGCCCTGTGCGCTGGTCAAGGACACCTTTCCCTTCATATTCAATAATTTCAAGATTGGCTTCTGCGGGTGTGAACTTTTTTTTCCAGTAATACCTTAAAATTACGATAATTTCGTCGGAAACTCTCATGTTTCTTCTTTGAAACAAATAACTAAGGTTTTTTTTGAAGAAGTCAAATGGGATTAAACAAGCTTAGAGAATACTCTAAAGGGATTATTAAGTATTGAATAGGATTAAAATATTTACAGTCCTTGGAAATCTTGAATTTGATAAAACGGTCATTTTTTTTCATACACCATTATCTTTTTATTACTTTATTATCAAGAATCATTAAGGTTATTTGTATTATTTACAAAAATAATAGTTTTATAGCTAACCTTTCAATTCCTGACAGTCTTGGATGACGGTATTTTTTGCTTAGTAGGAGTCCACCACCCCATGCCGCCTAAAAATAATTTAAATTTCAACGATTAGAACATTTTAAATGTAAAAAATTAAAATTAAAAATATTTACTTTTCTTTTTGGTTGAAACTCTTCTTTTCACTTATCTATGTTACATTGAGAAAAAATTCATGTATTTACTTACAGTATTTAACGCAAGAATAATTTATTTTCCATTTATAATGACAAAGTGCCTCTATTTGATATGAATTTAAGTTATGAAGAACTGAGGTGTTTTAAATGAAAATATAAATAATAAAACTTGATGTGTATTATCAACTAAAAAATGTCCAATGTGAATAAGGAACATCGATAAACGTGACTAAATAGGCAAATCCACGATAACTGCTCTTACGAAAATCCACTTTTTCCTATTGTTGGACACTTCTTATAAGACAATGTTTCATGGAAAAGAAGAGCTTAGGTACCATACAGTAATATGGTGGTTTTTATACAAAATGTTATTATAAAACTTCAATGTTAACATTGTAACCAGATTACACCAAGTCAAGTTTAGATCAACCATATACACTTAGGAAATTATAAAATTCGCTTGGGTTGTGAATACTTGAAATTAATATACTTCATCGTACTATCAATAGAAAATTAATAGTTATATATAGGTACTTACATCAATATGGAGCCAGAGCTTATATTTTTCACAGATATCAGCAATATCGTTGATAGGGTCAAATGCCCCGAGAACGGTGGTGCCTGAGGTACAGTTCACGAAAAATGGAATCTGTCCTTTTGACTTTCTTTCAACAATAAGCCTTTCCAATTCCCTAGGGATCATCCTCCCCCTGAAAAATATTTTATTTTACATTAAATATAAAAATATAACAAAAAAAAAATTGGCACTTAACATTGAATTAATTTTGATGACTATTGTTATGTTAACATCCATTGTTAAAAATAAGGAGCCGCATTCCAAAATTTCAGTCTTCCTCTTAATGCCAGATGATTTGAAATAAATGACTAGAACAGATATTTTAATTTCATTGCTGCATAAAAATCAGTACACCACGTGAGTATCAATCAATATCCACTACAAAGTTATATTATGAGAAATATGAAGTTGTATATATCTTCTTAAAAATATAAATGGTTTCCTAATTTTGATTCCACTCATATAATTTTTTTTTAATTCTGTGTTTATTTATTCTGGTCTATATTTAATTGGAATACTTTTCAAGAATTCTACTTTATGTATGTGAGATAACTTTGAAAACGGGAGGGACCTATTTCTTTCTTCTTTTTTTTTTTGTTGGTTTTTGGCTACCTATACAAGTAAAACAACAAATCGCTGGTATAAAATGAAATACAAAACAACAGGACTCTTCTTACGAAATAAAAAAACCTTTAGTTTTTCTATGGGTTTTAATGCTTAAAAGGCACTAACGATTTCATCAACTCCAAATTCTTAAAAAGAAGGAGGAAAAATATTATGAAGGAATGAAAGATACTATGAGAATATATCGAAACGTATACTTTTTACGTCAAATTTTTATATACAATCGTTTGGAAGGTAATTAAATTTCCTGAAAAACAAAAAGAAACCATAAAAATCGATCCAATCATCATTAGTTATGATTTACTACACGTTATAAAAAAACTAAATATTGAAAAATTATGGAGGATTTAGTGGCTAATTTAGTGACAGAGATTAATTTAATCGAAAAACGGCGTGGTAATGGGATTTTCGACTCAATGATTCAGTCAAGAAGAAATAAAACAAAAATGAGAAATACGAAAAAATTGTATAAACAATATCAGTAGGAATCTAGGGGAAACTGCTCATTTTGGGAAGAGTTTAGGAGAATCGATTCGAAGGTTTGATATTGGGTGGTTTAGTGTCGTTAGTTTTTTATAAATCCTGAATCAAACTAATATGATAATTAAAAACCATAATAATAAAAATAAACTAAGGTGTGTGCTTTAGACCACACGATAGAAAAAAAAATATCAACAAGGCTATATTAATAATATGAAATATGAATTATAAATAATAGGTCATTATATAGAGGATGAATGCTGAACATTCCCATCGTACAACATTACCTGTATGTATATCTGACTTCATAGCATAAAAGAAAAAAAAAACTAACGTGTTTATTTTAGTGTGGTCTAATAGAAGTAAAAACATCAAGGCGAGATCAATAATAAGAAATATAAATTATAAATAATAGCTCATTACAGAAAGGATGCAATGCTGAACAAATTCCTCGCTTACAGTTTGCAGGTTCGATTTATAGTTTCTGAGATATTTCTAAATCTGAAATTAATTCGCATCAATAAAATTCGTTGGAAGTTGGTTTTCGACACTATTTTTCCCTTTTCGTCTCTCTAATACGGCGTTTGGTTAAGATACAATTTTGAATAATAGCCCATTACAAAGAGAATGAAATGCTGAAGAATTCCCTCGCTTACAAGTCCGTTTTTTTAGTTTTCGAGATATTTTAATCCATATACAAAAACAATGCAATTAGTCGACTCGAGCCGACTTTACCTAAACGTTACAAATCGGAGATCTGACGGCTCAATATTATTCACTATCCACGAAAAAAGTGCAAAACGCGCCTAAAGATGTTTTCAATTTAAAAAAACAATACTAGGCTGAAGCGAACAGGTTTCGGCTTTAATTAAAGTTGCCTGCGATTTATTATGATGAGAAGGGGGATAGTTAAAATTCAAACTAAAGAATTTTTGCAATAAGGGGAGAAATTTATCAGGGACACTGAGCGCTGAGAATTCTCATTCCCCGGAGCTACGAACATGCGGGACTGGCTAATAGTAGACTTAGAATTAGTGACGGTCGGGGGGAAGGGTGCTACTACAATGGGCCCCCCTCCTCAGGAATTTTAATCTGGGCCATCCCCCCTCCTCCAACCCCAGAGCACAACACAAACAACACACCCCAGGCCCTCTCCTATATTAATTCTGATAGAATTTAATCAAAAGTCGCTCAGGCCAATCCCCTTATAAATTACCACATTAGCCGCCATCCGAAGGATTTTTGGGAACGCGAGGGCGGAAGCCCCCCCTCCTCTGCTTGATCCTGACCCATATTGTAACTGACATCTACTGCTCTATCATCCTCTCAACCGTGCCTCCCCTTATCTCCCCCTTTTATAGCCGCCTAGGCCCCACGCACCATTCTTTAAAACGGCTTATTGATGTTTTCTCTTACTTTATAACTTTAGCCAGATATAATTCATCGGCTTATACGTGAAGGCATAGAATATCCTTGCTCATAGTGGGCTCTAGAATCTTCAGTAAACAGTAGAATAATGGGAGACAGAGATATACCGGAAAGGCATAATCATAAATCCCAATAATAGCGAAGTCATGGAAATAGTACAAAACTTCTATCGAGGAAAAACCCAGGAGATAGTAGAAGATTAGACGTACCAAGGAAAATTTGTCAGCAGAAATAGAAAAGTTGAACAAGGTATCATCGACATTATGTTAAAGTTAATATAAAGAAATATGTAACGGATGTTAACCTGCTCAACGTTCGTATTCGTTACTTTAACATGGTGCCGACGATTTATTTGGTTTCGGTTTTTATTTTCAGTTTTCAAACTTTATAATCAACCAAGAAAAAAAAAAGTTAACACGTTTCAAAATTTGAGGTTTTAATTTTCGTACATATAATTCGATAATCGAATAAAAAAATCGCGGATTTCCTTAGAGATTACAGGATCAATTGTTTCCAGATTTGGTATCAATGTCAAAGGGCACTCGATGATGATCCTCGGATCTCTGTATTATCCTCAGTTCTCTCCTTCAAATATGGTGGCCGAAAAATCTTTATCACTATAGACTATACCGCTTAAATTAATGTACCGATTTCAATGAAACTTGGCCAAAGTCTTTTCCTCGAAGCTCTTTAATCTTATCTTTATAACAAACTTTACCGCAATGTACTGTCCTTTTACGATGGCGGCCAAAAAACCCGTATATTGTAACATCTGCTTCTGATTCAGTAACTGACGAAATACGCTCAACCATTCCCTTTTTTTTTTTTGTCTAACTTGAATTTCATGATTAAGTAATTATTTAATTTAATCGAAAAGCTGGCGCGAATGGTGGCAAAAACTCCTAAGAATGTAAAATACTATTTTCCGTGATTATTGCACACCTCTTGGGATCCCTAAATCCTCTGGTTCTTGGAGCCCTTCCATTGACTGCCGCAGAGCCCATCCAGGGAATCCCCCTATTTGTGACTAGGCCCGCCCATAAACAAACCTGGATTACGCCTAATCCTCTTCCCCTTCAGACCGCTAATAGATATACACCCCTCCCCTTAAAAACACATTTCATTACTTTCCGTCTTACCGCAGGATTTAGTTTCTGCCCGTTTGTTTCTGCTCTAAGCCAATGGTTTTCTTTATTTTTCAGGGATAACCTTAGACACGTAGGTGCAAAAAGAAAATGAATTCAGCATGTACAGTTCGTATCGCAGAGCAGTATAGTCTTACTAATGGACTTGGAAACTGGAGTAAAATAAATATATTCAGTTTTAGCATTTATGCTGAATCAAACATCGCAAACTCAGTCTCTGAAATTTTTATCGTTAGCATAGGATTTTTTTTTTATAAAAAGTTATCATTAGGCTTATACAATTTTTATAAATATCATTTAAGTATTTGACTTACTCGATAAATTTATGTTAACTATGAGAGCCTTTGATTGCTTATGGCTTCGAAATGCAATGATGTCACCAAACACTGTTTAAGTACCAATCGCAAAATATTAATTTGAGTTCAAACCATATTAGTGGATACTTAATATATATAAGATCTTTTAGTTATTTTATTCAAATAAAAACATATATAGTATCCGGATTAATGAGGGAAGGAAGGGGGAACGAAAAATTCGGATGAAATTTTTTCCTCTTCACTGTCGTAGAAACAAACCGATAGAAATCGGTGATCTGAAATGTAACTTCGGTGGAAATGAATTCCTGCATTACTATTACTAGTGTCCTTAATTTGAAACAAAATATAATACAATTTAATAAAGGAGTTTGACTTCAAGGACCACTTAAACATTCTTTTGTATATAAAAAAAATACAAATCTCCTAAAATTAAATCCTGGATCCACCAGTGTCAGGATTCACATATTAAGCTAATAAAGGATATTACATTTTTTAAATTTATTTCATGTTTTACTATTTATTGTGAGCGTACTAGATGTTATTAGAGAGATTTCATAAGCTCAGTATCTTAATTGTGGGTTTATGGTTGACTGTAGTGAATAATTGAAGAGAAGGATGGTTGGGGTGGTCAGTCAAATTAAAATGGTGAAAATAAATAATTTTATGTAAAAAAAAAATGTGCAATATGTAAAAAAAAAATGCAAAACTTAATGTAAAATGAAGTAGATAGAATTAACATAAAAGTAAAACGAAGTAGGTAGAATGATAACCGTATCAGAGAACTAAGAAATAAATAATAATAACGGTAACAAAGCACGGACCAATGAAATAAAAATGATAATCTAGAATAAAGTGTAAAACAGAGAAAAGAAATATGAAGTTATATAAGGAAGTAATAGGTATAAATAGAACATTAAGATATTGTAAACTATCCAATATCATAACGTTCTATTTATATCTATTATTTCCTTTTATAAATAGATATATATTTCTATAACTTCCAATTTCTTTTCTCTGTTTTATTTCAGATTACCATTTTCATTTTTTATGTTACCTTATATTTTATTATGCTTATTCCATTGGTTCGTGCTTTGTTACCGTTATTATTATTTATTTCTTAGTTCTCTGTTACGATTATCATTCTACCTACTTTCTTTTACTTTTATGTTAATTCTATATACTTCATTTTACTTTAGCTTTTTCTACCTAAAATTATTAGGCTATACCGTTCACCTTTTTTAATCTTAATTCAGTATTATTCAATATTATTATACCTATTGTTGTCTGGTCCTTTTCTCAGCCCTAATGAAGGCCTGAACCTCGGATCGAAACGTCAGTGAATAAAAAAATTATTCCTATAACAAAATTATTTATTTTTACCATTTTAATTTGACTGATCATCCCAACCATCCTTCTCTTAACTTAGTATCTTAGTTTTCTCTTGAAAGTTAAGTCATGGACTTTGTCACGGAAGGATCCTAGTAGCAGCGTTTTAAGTCAACTGATTCTTTTAAAAAAATATGGTAACATGATCTAAGAGAAAATCGAGTTTTAAGAGCACAGTGTTGACCATTCTGGCTTTAAGGGACATCATAGGATCAGAATCGGTTCCATCTGTCAGTGAAAGATAAATTTCAATGTCAATGTAAACTTAATATATATAAAAAGAATCAAGATTCCTCACCTCTCATCAGAAGGAACTTCCACACAATTGTCAGTGCCAAGACCACATACTGCGGCACAACTCTTTACGGAATAATGACACTAAAACAGCAATATTACAGTTATATAAAATCCGAAAATTTGGAATGTTATACTATCCTAGATCAAGAGTTAGAAAATAAAATGGCTAAATGGCTAAATGGCTGAATCTTTTCTTAGATAGTTAATTAGTCAAATAGATACTGTTAGTGCATAAGGTCATATGTAAGTTTTTAGCATGTATCTTCTCTTTGCGGTAAAGTTGAGATTTCATAGTCTGTAACTGCTATAAGTAGTTTGAAAAATCAGAAAATACTAGAGGGAAATAGAATATGAAATTATACTAATATATCATAAAGCAATAATAATGCTCTTCTGTAAAACTGAATTTGTTTACGACATTGTTATTTAATAAAATGAAATTCTGAAATATTTATAAGATAGATATTCATTAATCGTGAGTGCAAATCTTAATAATTTCTACCAATAGTTAAACCATAGGGTTTAAAACATCTGTCAATATTACTATGAATTCATGTAGATATTGTGTAATACTGTATTTAATTTTAAATATGATATAATTTTTAACCAAAAGTGCAAAAATCTCGTAGGAAACATACTGTATAATTATTTGGTATAATTTTTGTATTTAAATATTTTTTTTCTTTTCTATATTGCAGTAACCCAGGGAGAAAATCGTTCGCTGAATTAACGTACATGATCCGTGAGCATTTAACCAGAAGCGTTTAAATACTTATATTTCAGTTTTTTTTATAGATATCTGTTATCTAATGCTTGAATATTTTGATATAAGTTAATTTTGACATACAATATTTTGCACTAACAGTAGCGATATATTCTATTGAACTAACCTGATCAGAAGTAAACATGACCAGTTGGCCACTTAAACATGATTGGCCCTTCTCTTTGTACTGCGGGAACATGTGATGCCGAGCGGCAAGGAACGCGTATAAGTTTGATATTGATCCACCTAAAAATAAATATAAGTTTAAACTTGCCGTTCTACTCTTGTACTCCATATATATTCGCACCTTACATATTTTAATTTACCTGGTGCAAGTATCGAATCTCCTCCCCTCCAGCCGATTATCTCCCTCATCTTGGACAACACGACACTCTCCATGAGGATGAAGACAGGGGCTATCTCGTAAGTGAACATGTTAGTGTTAGCAGTCGCTGTGAGCCACTCGCCGGCCATCGAGACCAAGTCCAGGCCGCAGGAGAGCTGGTTCATGAAATGAGGGTGTCCTGAATAAGGAGGATCGGATCAGTTAATATTAATATAAAAAAAAAGTACAAGAAGAACTTGAAAGTTTCTTTGAAGGTTTTTCTTGAAAGGAAGTTGTACATACTGTCAAAAAGGAATACTTTTAGCCAATTTGATGTTTGTTTCTCTTAAACATTGGCAGTATCAATAGCACAATGTTATTGTTTTATAGAAGCTTCTCTGCTATGAAATTAGCTGAAAGGATTCTTTTTTCCATGGAGTTTCATAAAATTATTCCTTTTATGAAACAACAGTTCAACTGGAGTTAAAAGAAAAACTAGGCATACCACCCAAATAATTCTGAACAAGAGATAATACGTAACAGACTAAAGAAAATGTGGTTGTAAATAAAATATAACAAAATTAAACTCTGTTAGAACCTATACAAGTTCATTTAGCTTGTATCGGCCAGAGGATTTGAATACAATGTGTTGCATATTACAGTGTATGATGTTTCTTCATTGAAAATAGGTATTCCAACGCAGTCAGTTCTACCATTCTGTTTATTCCAAACGATAATATTAAAACTTCCTTAAAACGTATTGACGTTTGCTTTGTGAATACTAATTCATTATTGATAATCTAAATTTGAAATATTAACAGATTTTATAGTTTTGTCCATTTGTTTTTTCATTCACTTTGGACTCCACGACCTTTTGAAAATATTTATTAGGTATAAATGGATTTCCGACTCAAGACATATATGTGGCTATCATATATCTTGCTCAATCTTCACTGAATTTTAGTAGCAATGACGTGGTTGAGAGAGTAGCAAAGAGATCTGCTGGAGTATTCTTTTCCCTCCGTAAAAGGGAAAACAGACCTAGTTCGAGTTCTCTTCACTGATTGTAAATTGTTTATTTAGGTATGCCCACATTTAAGGTGTTATTTTACTTTACTTATCTTTAAGTTTATTTTATTCGTATTAATTGTAAATATTTCTTTTTCTCGGAGAGTTCTGAGGATGAGAATCCCTGAACGATGAAATCCCGAAATGTCAACAAAAAGAATATTTGACAAATCTAAAATTTGCTTGTATTAAAGGAAGTTTCTATTGCCAACCGCTCAATCAATGAATATATATCTACTAGTTGGCCCGTGCGAAAAATTCGCAGAAAATTTTGTTTAGTGATGAAATAGCAAAACAATATGGAAATAAGTAGTTCCTATGTATTATGTAGGGAAGGAATTAATATTTTTTCCTCGGTCGATTACAATATTCCATTAAACATAATACACCAAAATATTGGTACAAATTGCTTTGTTAGGACCTATTTTTAAACGATGACTGGAAAGATAATGAAAGCAATAAATACCAAATACTGCACCGATCATAGGATATTCTAAATTATTAAAAAAAATAAAATGTAAGAACAAACAAATGTCTTTAAGAAATAATAAAGATAATATATCAGCCGGGAAAAAAAACGTAGTAGACTATTCTACTCCTAAAACTAATGGACTTCATCTTCGTTAATAATTGCACGATTTTTTTTTTTTTAGATAATTTAGCAATCTTAGGAAAAAAGGTATATTTTTTGAGTTATTTACAATTAATTTTTTTTTTCTTAACTTTTTTTCCAGAAATTTGGGGAGTATATGACTATTTTTCGCATGTGAAGGAGAATAATATATTCAAAATGAGTGGTCAATCATTGGATTTTATGAAGAATTGGCGAAGTTATGGCGTACCGACAAAAAAACAGCTTTTAGGATATAAAGGATAATATATAGGATTTTTTTCAATATTATAACTTAGTTAAATTTTGCTTTCGTTTTATTTGGATTTTTTGTATATATTCTATGAATGTATTCTTTCCTCATTATAACTGTTGTCATTTAGTGTGATTGAATATTATGTTACTCAATAAAACAGTCTCAAATTGAAATGAAAATTCGGAATCGATGAATTTCCTGACAACCACGACAACGTATTTATAGTTCATAAATACTCCACAGGAGTGTAAGTGCGCTGTTTGGTGACAGTAACGGTAGTCAGATACGAGGACGTCACTTCCCTCCTTCCATATTGCTAATAAATTCACTGAAGAGTTCGTTTGTTGTCGGGCGTGAGCACGCTCTGGGCCTTATCGGACCCGTCAGAAGATAATCCGGAGCGATGGCCCCAGGAGAGGAAGAGGAGATATGTTTTTTAGACGACAGAGGGCGCTATCTAAACAGGGAATATGGTTTGCGGTATCTGTAATTGAATATCGCTGCGGAGGGGTGCGCACTTCGTTAGTGGCTCTTGTTGCGTCCCATTGTGTAGCTATTATCGCACTTAGCACTCCGCAATCTAATCAAATAGGACGTGATCCCTTCAGGAGCTGGTGAAGTTGGTTAGCTGTATTGTCGTCAACATCAACATCTCATATCAATGGGGACTTCCATCTTTCATTTTGTAAAACTGCTGACAGGCCGGGAACTAAGTTCTTGTAAAAATATTACTAAGCAATACTATGCTGTTGTTTTTTAAAGTGCTTTACATCACTCTCTACAATAGTTATTATTTTATTTTTATTACGTATCCACTACTCTCTATTGTTATCAACAATTATAAATGAATCTCTGAAATAAATATATCAGAGCTGATGATTGCCCACAAGTTTGGGTTAAAACATTGGCAATAAAAAAAACACCAAAATTGACTGAACCTTAACTTTTTTATGATCCATGGTATCTAGAACAGTGGATAAACTTCAACAATACAATAGAAATCATTGAAGAAATTGTCAGTTTTTAAAAATCAAATGGTTCCAAAAGTTGTCGGATTGACAAGTAAAAAATGTTTTTAAAAATATTTTAATACCGAAATCAAGAAATAAAGAATGTTATAAAGCCCTAAAATGTACCATTTTTAGATAAATCGTGATTCTTACAGAAAGCCTCTAATGTGCTAAGGTTACCATGGGATGTTTATCAAATGTTTAAGGTTTAAAAATTAAAATATTGGTGTCTATAATAGTCTGATAAAAGAAAAATAAATAAAGAAATCCTGTATCACTACAACCCATGAAGGGTCTAGGGTTCAATACTATTTAGGGAAAGCACAGTTTCTTGGTTGAGCAAAGAGGTGATTTGATCGAGATCACACGCTCAATCGCCAAATTTTCCCCCTTAATTAATTATTTTAATTAAAGGTACCCCCTTTAAAGAGGAAGGGTGTGCCCCAGGAGGGAGTACATGCCCAGAGTCGCTCCACAGCCAATGAAATAGAATAAATAATTTTTACTGCCATGAGCCGGGATTCGAACCTAGGACCTTTAGCATTGGAAGCTCAGTACTCTACCACTGAGCTACCCCACTCCTATAATAGTCTTATACGAATTAAAAATCTATTAAAAAGGAATATGTTGGAGTAGAGCTTTATGATTTCTTGGACACATCTGATAATACAGAGAGAAATGATTTGATATTTTTAATAAATAGAAAGAATATACTCGTATAGATATGGCTTCTATACTATCAACAATAGACTTCTATGACCCTTAGTGCTATATTAGAAGCAGATCAGACTCTTAGTGCTGGTACTGATGGGGGAACTAGTCCGGCAAGTGGGCCATTTGGTGTTCTTTGCCAATCTCTGATGGCTACCTTGATAGCTCTGGAGAAAGGGCCCAAAAATCGACGTGATCGCAGGCGAAGGTTTGATTGTAAGTTACGAAAGTGTTTGTTATTCTGAGTAAAAAGAACCTTGTCTGCCATTCCAGAGCCGCTGCTTTCAAAATGCGGTTGATTTAAAGAATATTAGGCCAGAAACTTAAAGATCGAAAAGGGACATCCATTGCGAAAAATGTGAGAACATTTTTTATTTTTTAACTTGTATCTATCTATATATCTTTTCAAACAAATGTTTGTTTTAAACGAGTTCATTGGACAGGTGAGTTTCATTTATATCTCTTATGATCATTCCCAGTTGTCTGTATTTTAGGCATGTGAAAAACAAAGTTGCTACCACGGCCGACCAAACGAAAACTTTTGGTTAGATTTTTTATTATTTTGTTTTTTCACTTATAATACCTAAAAGATGCATCGAAGTGAAAAAATTGATGTGGGAAAATTACAGAATGTTAAATTGTGCGTCGAATGAGATCATAAACTTAATAATTTTGTTATGAGGTAAGGTATAAAACCACGGTCAAACAACGCTGATTTTTACAAAATTTGTCTAAAACTGAAACAAATTACCATAAATGGCCCTATAACTTGGAAATTAGTTTCCTATGAAGAAAAACCCATAGAATCAAGATTGTAAAGCATCAAATATTGCGTCCACTGAGTACTGAGATACATTCGAGTGTAACGATAACTCCAGTACTACGAAGCATTCGTGTACGGGTGGAAGAAATTAGTGGGGGATGATCACTTCAACCTCCACTAATGAAGACCGAAGAACCAAAAGATAAGCGGTAAAAATATCACGCTACTTTACCGAAAATCTGTATTACCGAGAGGCGAGGAAAGGAGAAAATAAATTAATATTTTATAATATTATTAAATTATAATACCTATAGATCTCGTTAGCACTTAACAAAATTTTAGATTGGTACACAATATGGTATATGTTATAATGCGTTTTATAGTGATTTTTGTCTGTCACAGTGGCATGCATTTCTGAAAGCCTAAATATACATAGTTATGTATTTATCGTCGGATGAGAATATTGTACATTTACATTAATGTTTCTGATACTTGATGAGTTTCTCATCAATAAATGTGATCTAAATCCATAAATACGTTCTTTAATATTCAACTTAAACACTTTTTGCAAACAAACCAACGATATATTGTTTCCAAATATGGTGTACTAGCATGCCACCATCATTTTTTTTTCTTCTTATTATTGATAAAGATAAAATTGAAGCTAATGACCGCTATTATTGATCTTTGATCCTCACTTTACTGGATTGAATAGCACTCTCCTACAATCAGCGGACCTGGAAGTGGAGCCATCCTGAGCGAAGATCCCCTGGATGTAACAGACGGTACTAATTGACGTCTTGGACCCTAATTCCAGAGGATTACCCCGCCGGCTATTACTGGCTGCCTATTTTCAGGCTCGATGGACAATAAGCACACCCTACGCACATCCCACTCCACCCTCCAAAGCGGGGGAGAGCAGATATTGAAAACAGTTCACAGGCTTACCCTTAATTTTTTCTTTGTTTCTTCTTTAAAACAATTCAAGATTGAAAAAAAAAATGCTTAATCGATCAGAAACAACTGACAATTGATCAATGATTGATTCAAAAATTCATTAATTAAATTTAATGAAAGTCAAGAAATAGTAAACTATTTAATTAATGGAAAGTATTATAACCCAGTGAGAACATCCAAAACTCTCAAGCTAAGACATGCTATAAATAATTAGCAGTTAGGTTAGAAATAGGTTTACTTCATTAATTTTATGAATAATCTGTTAAGTATTTGAATATTAAAAAACAAAACTAGAATATTAGTAATCACAACTCTTTTATTCATCACCAAAGATAACAATGTTAGGTTAATACTAAAAGTGCTCCAGACATCCTCATGTAAACGAAATTCAATTTTACAGGTCTCCATCCTGTATCTTGCTCCTTTATTCTTTGTTGGGTTACCTTTTCACTGATTTCCTTGCTTTCTTCTTTATTTTCACTTCTCAATTCCTGCATTAAAATTTGTCCTAACCTATCTACAGAATCAGCCTCATCAAAAACCAAACCTAATTCTTTTAGTTTTAAAATCAAGTCTTGTTTCTTTAATACGTTCACCCATGAAGTATCTTTCTTCATTACTTTTATCCTCGTCGCCAAATGTTAAGTATTTGAATATTAAAACACAAAACTACAATATTAGTAATCACGATTCTTTTATTCATCATCAAAGATAACGCTGTTAGGTTAATAAAACTGCATCACTAATTGGTATAATCGATATATCACATTATCCAAATGTTCCTAAACATGGAAGAATTAAGTAATTGTATCGTAGTTATAAAATTTTCTTTAGAAAGCTCTACTCTTAAAGATACCAATAATATTAAATTATATGTTAAAAATAACAGTTTTATTAAAAGTAAATAGTTTGATTGCCTTACCAGTCCTCACTTGATATTTCAGAGTTTGAGCACAATCATCGATAAGGTTTTGTAGTGTAAGCCCTTCATTTGGAATCGAGAGGTCTAGGAGCTTCTTCATTTCTTCCGGATGGTGAAATTCGAGGACTTTGCAGTTTCTATCGTTGGTTTCCCTCACGAAATCGATGAGTACCTGGCAAAGTTGCCGCAAAACAGCTTCCGTTGCGGCTCCATTTTGACTGTGGGGGTAGAGGTCTGCAACACAAGTTATAAAAACAAAATATTATGAGAAGTACTATTACACATTTACATATCTACAGAGAATTTTAATTTTGGTGAAATATAACAAATAATATTGCATACAATCTTTAACTCCACTTGAGCGTCCCGTCAAAAGGGAAACTCAATGCTCAATCGATATTTTAACGTGTTTTCTCGCCAATGTTTAAGAGAAGAACAGACATGAAATGGTCCCTGTAATCAAATTGGCTAAAAGGAGTCCTTTTTCATTGAGTCTCATGAAAGTATTCCTTTTTGGTTGAACTTTCGTGTAGAATTAGAGTAACAACTATACATAGCACTACAAAACTAGGAGTTTTTTACAGTTGTGCGTTGCTAACCTAAGTTTCCAAGGCAATGAGTATCAACATTAACAATCTTATTCTACTGTCAAATTTTCGCTATGCCAAAGGTGAGACGATAGATGGTCCTCATAATCTTCATTTTATTCGTAATCTTTTGAAAAATTTGAAACATTGAAAGGACATTATTAGAAAAATTATTAAATAAAAAATTAGAAAAAAAAAGTATGGCCTGTTGTTCTAAGATTGGGTAGACGAATGGACTCAGAAGTCACTATCTCGAATTTTATTGAACAAGATATGGTGAGACTAACATAACAGTAAAACAATTTAAAGCTAACAATTTTAACTTAGCAGGTCAGAATTGTTATATATAATCGTCATGGTTTCGTACTAAACGATATTCCTCCCTAGAAACAGTGATATCATGGTATATATAGATTAGGTTACATTATCTTTAGGTAAAATTATGTCGCATCTTATGAATCGAGAAATCTATATAGATATCTTACGTTTATTAGGCCTTAATGTTTTGAGTGTAAGAAGAATGCATCCCAAAATATGATCATTTAGCTCAAATCAATTTGCTTTCTTGTGAGTCCTAGTTACAGTTGTAGTTTATAATAAATATTTTTAAAAAATTAAACACCTTATAATTAGAAAATATTTTTTAGTGAAAGACAATAAAATGAAATTGAATCTCTAATGAAAGTGAAATCTCATATTCAGGTTGATATCAATGGACTTTGAAAAAAAAAATGAATTGCTTTGTTTTTTGTAGGAGTTGCCCTTTTTTAGTAATTAAAATATAAGTCAGCCTTTAGATTTTTAAGGTCAACACAACATTTTATCTTCTTTTCGCTTCCGTGGTTCTACTTTAATTATGTGGTCAACCCTGAGGATGACTTCGGTGGCTTCAACCGCGGAATATATTGTCTGGCGCTTCACAGCCAGAGGTTCCAGAATGCCAAGCTCCTTCATGCAAGCAACATCACCCCTCTCCATGTCCAGGCCGTAGTTGTACTGTCCAGTGGTGTGGGCGACCCTGAGGGCGGTCATCAGGTATGCCGTGTCGTAGCCGCCGTTGTCGGAGATGGCCATCGGCAGCGAAAGGAGGGCCTTGGCGAAGGACTCCATGGCCACCGCCTCCTTGCCTGCTGTCTGGCTGGCCTCTCGGCTCACGGCCATCGCCATCCGCATCTCAGACGCTCCTCCTCCGCAGACCAGCTTCCTTTCCTTCACCGCTGCGAGGACAACGCAAAGAGAGTCGTGAAGAGCTCTCTCTGCTTCTGCCATGATCTGCTTAGTTGCCCCTCTTATCACAATAGTACAAGCTTCTCCGAGCTTCACTCCACTGAACCTCAATAGTTTCTTTTCTCCTATCATAATTTCCTCGATGAGATCACATTCGCCCAACTTTACAGTCTCCGGATCCTCGAATGTGGAAGCGATCTCACCACCTGTAACCAGAGCCAGCCTTTCGATTCCTTCGAATTGGGCCAATTCGATACTCATGACCCCCGCATCGGCAAATAGTTGTTCCGGGTAATTATATATTTGCTGCCGGTTTATAAAAACATTACAGCCATGTTTTAAAATTTTGTCAACTTTTTCTTTCATAAACGTTTTCTCTGCCGCCTCCACCTCAGCAAGTTTATTCAATGAAGTCACTCGAGCTCTTGAACCAAAACTCTTCGGCTTGTCTGCATCCATACCGGTGTTAGCAACTAAAATCTTCGCTTTTTCGATTCTTTTTGGTTGGAATTGTCCAATGTGTCGATCCAATAAAAAACCTTCCTCAAGGAAACAGTCTTCCAAACTACCTCCTGGGATCTTGATTATGTGAACTGCATTCAAATTAAACGAACCTTTGAGACGCAAACCTGCGTCCACTGTCAGTTGACTGAATTTTTCTTTGTGAATGTTAATTATTTTCGAGCTCAAGCTGGTTTTGGCCAAGCTGATGAGTTCCTTTCGAAAACAAAGTTCATCTTCCTTACATTCGAAGGCTGACGCTTCTAGAGCTGAAAGAGCTATTTCCGATGCAATCCTAAAACCAGTAATTATTGTCTGTGGGTGAATTTTTTTCGCAATTAATTGTTCGCATTCCTTGAGGAGCTCAGAAGCCAAAATAGCGACCGAAGTTGTACCATCACCAACGAGGTCATCTTGCGCAGCGGCCATGTTCACTAAAATTTTGGCTGCTGGATTGTCGAAACCAATACTCTTGAGAATCGTAGCTCCATCATTTGTTATCTTCAGTCTTTCCTGATTATCGGTGTAGGATACAAGCATTTTATCCATCCCTTTAGGTCCAAGTGTAGTCTTAACTATGTCACCTACAACCATTGCACCTAAGAAATTTGATAATCGTGCTTGTTCGGCTTTCTCATCTTCCGCAGCTAATTTGAGGATGCGGACTGGATCTAAGGACACCATTGAGCTTCGATTTGCAGACTAGTAATAACCAAACCAATCGATATTTATTTAATATTTTTGATCGTAATTAAACACCATATGTTACTATAAAATAGTATCTAACACTACTAATATCTAGCCTTTAAACACTTATATATTACATTATGAACTAGAACAGGGGTTATAAACATTATGTCACTGCTTTCAAATTTAAAATAGCACGACTCACTACCGCTACCTTTATTATAAAAAATATTAATAAAAATAAAAATGAATTCAACACAATACAGAACTCCAGTTTCGAAGCTCTATACACAAAGAGAAACTCGAAAATGCATAAACATCTCTAATCTATAAATAATTGAGACTTCTACAAAGTAGGAAAAACAAAAACAGAATCTTTAACCTTTTTATGCATTTTTTAAATACATATTTTGTTCACTTGTAAATTTTACCAAAATGAAATTACGAGATTCTCATTGCCTAGCTTCAGTATCTTTTATTTTTTATATATTGGAATTACACTATGTTATCGTAAGAAGCATAAAAAAATAATAGTAATAATAATAAAGTCAAAAAACCCAAAATAAAAATTCCTCACCAGAGTAACAGTAAGAAAACTGCAAATAACAAAAAAAATTGTAAATAAAAATTTATTCCATAAAATTATGAAACAAAAGTGTGAATATTTTTCAGCTGGAAGCATCATTTGCCTTTAAAACATCATTAGCTTTATGATATGATACTTGTTCTAAAGTCCTCTTCTACTCTCAGTGCTTCCATCTTTACTACTATCACCATCGTAGATTATTGATCGTAGATTAATCATCATTTGCATTCGCCTAAAGGACTCCAAACCAGGGTTTGTCCTCCAAATGTGAAAGACAAAGTAAGACCGCAATAAATTCCAGCAATTCTCTTCCTAGAGAGAGAAGCTCTTACTAGAGCCTCAAATACAGTTATCTACATTACTCATTTTAGACTTAGGCCTTTGCTGAACTTGTTTAGGCTTTTTTTTTCATGACCTTTTTGCTTGTTTTCATACTACCTTGAGCGTTCTTACGGACCCTCAATGGTACACATACTACACTAGCAGATCCAGTCGGGGGACATGCGCCCTTCCTCCTTCACTAGAAGCTAGAAAAAAAGTTCCAAAAAATAGCTATTTAAAGAAAACAGAAATATAGGGATAATTCATCCTCATAGATCATGAATTTTGAATGACTAGCGAATTCTGCCAGGGGGCGCGCTCTTCCTTAGATGGTGGGAAAAAAGTCCAAAAAGGGACAAAAACACCTACTTAAAGAAAAGAGAAATGTAGGTCATCCTCATAAACGAATTTCCTGAAACAACATAAAAAACAATTACTATCGAGACCAGCACTAGCGAATTCTACCAGGGGAGATGGACTAAAAGAACTCATTTCCAAGCTGCAGGGGCATTTATAGTAATCTTTCTCAGATTTTGACATTGTCGGTAAAAATTAGCATTGTTGAATAGGAAGTGATAACAAAAATCTATTTGATTGAACAAATCAATGATTACTTCACTGTAAACTAGACAAGATTTACTTCAAATAAAAATAGAGTTTGCTATAGTTAAAACCATTTAAAAAGGACCATTGAGCGACCAAACTCAGCTAAGGAGTGGGGGAGATGGGTAGTGGTGGGGGAACGGGTAGGGGTGGGAGAAGAATCTGGTGGTTTCGGTGGGTAGTAATCCCGAGGTAGGAGAATCATTCTCGGGGGCCCTCTGATTTTGATTCCAAATTTGAAAAAAAATCAGCCCAGAAGTATTGGTTGGCGGACGGACAACAAAATTTATATTTACTTTTCGAATTCAGAATTTGCTTATTTAGCAGTGAAATCTTTGAGATTATTTATTCAAAACAAGTCAAGAATACATAACAACAATTGATATTTATTGTTTGTTATAAATTATAGGGTTATTTTTATTTTATTTTATTTTATTTTTTTTCATTTTTTTTTTCCCTTATATGCGATATCACAATCAGGCCATGTCTAGTAGAGCTTCTATCAAGAGAATTCGGCCGTTAGGCTCAACACCTTGTTCTTCGCCTGTCAAACAAAAGCCTCGTCAATGTCGTCAAACACCTGCAGTAACGCCTATTAGCTCCAGAGAAAATGAAACCCAGCCAGGAACATCATCAAAACCAACAATTGAAGAACTTCAGCATCAACCAGGTACATCTTCACAAGAGATAACCGAACAATCTCCGTTTTTCACCCCTAACCCCTATCAGGTGCTTCAGAATGATAAAGAAGTGATGGAATCCGCTTCAATACCAAGAGATCCCCGACCTCCACCCATATTCGTTAAAAACATAAACAATTTTCAGTTACTATGCTCACAACTGAACAAAATAACAGGCTCTGGAAGCTATTCATGTCTAAGCAGAACAAAGGACACGAAGATATCACCAGATACAGCTGAAACCTACAGAAAAATTGTGAAGTATCTAACGGAAACCAACGCGGATTTTCATACGTACCAATTACGGCAAGATCGAGCTTTGAGAGTAGTCATAAGAAATCTACACCCCTCAACACCAACCGAAGCAATAGAAGAAGAATTGAAAACTTCAGGTTTCATAGTGCGCCAGATTACAAATGTACAGAAGGAGAGTAAAGAACAGCCAGGAGTAAAAGTTCCTCTACCCTTATTTTTCGTAGATTTGGAGCCAAATCAAGGGATCGAAAAAATGTACGAAATAAGAAGAATATACTACACAAGTGTTATAGTAGAGAAGCCATATCCTAAGAGGGAAATCGTACAGTGTCACAATTGCCAGGCATATGGCCATACCAGGACTTACTGCCATCATCTGCCGCGCTGTGTGAAATGTGGAGAGCAGCACAAATCCG